GCTTCTATTTCATGACTTATTCTTCATCATTTTCGGCTTCTTCTTGGTCACCAACGTCCGTGTGTGGCGAAAATGTCATTGTCCTTTCGTTGCCTGTAGTCTACAATGTCCCAAGAGTGTAGGCAACAACAACTGCTTACATATGTTGATACAAGTTCATAAAATGTCGTTTTTGATCTGCAACATACGGCATGCAGCGTTTCGCTTTCTCGTCATATTTTTACTTCCCTCTTTTTCTTACTTTTTTTCTTCTTATTATTCTCTCACTTCTTTTCTTATTTTATGATATTTCGTAATTTTTCTTTAACTAGTATATAAAAATTTTTTTTTTTAAATATATTGAAGTATTGTTTCGATATTTTCTGTTCATCGTTTTTAAGCTGCTTTTATTATAAATATAATTTTTTCTGAACGATCCACTTTTTTCGCTTCATTGATTACATAGAAAATATTTTTAATCCTTTTTTATGAAAAATGAAACTCCAATCAAAGCATTACGAACCCTTTTAATGCTCGAAGAACTACAACAGTTTTATTTGTAGAGGATTTTGTTAGCTTCGGGCTTAAACCAGTTTATTAAGGGTTTCTTTTCAACAGTCGCTGGTAAAAGATTATGGTATCCAAAAGGGATTATTTATTGTAGGAACAACTGAGGCGTTTTTCAGTATAACTTTTTGGTGTATAACTTCTTGTAAATAATCTATTTAATGCACAATATTGCTCTATGAATTTGTAACATAACAACAATATCAAAGTAACTGTATAAATAACTAACTAAAAACCATTTCTTTGGTGACAGCGACTATATGTCATTCAGACGGAAGCGTTTGTTTCGTTTGTTACTTTTTGACCTTCCGCTCAGCGAGTTACGATACCCTTATTTGGATCGTATCAGTATACCTATCGAACAACAAAGTGCTAAAATTTATGTATAGAGCAGTTATAGTTAAACTGTTAAATTTAGGATCTACAAAATATTCTCGTGCAAATTTCTACTTCTCTAGATATGCGAACGAGTTTTTTTTTTACCAACTCCTATGCGACTGCGAGACTCCTTTGGCCTAGAGTAGAACGCAGGAAATGTATTAATCTATTTGCCCTTAGCAAAGTTCATCTTGCTGCAATCGTAGGGGCTCTTACTCGGCAGTGTCCAAAAGCATTCATGCGATAATGCTAAACATCTTGTCGGATGCTAGTTGTCAAAGTTGTATGAAGGAGGGTGAGGTGGAAACATCCAGGCACTTTCTGCTCCATTGTCTAGCCTTTGCAAGACTGAAGCTTAAACATCTCGGTAGTCTTACCTTCGACCTCTGAATCTAACCTAACCTAACCACAATTATTTTATTAGTCATCGTAAACCAACTTTCCGCGCGAATCATCCCCAGAGCCCTCCTTTAGATTAATGCGACGACAACTTCCAACACAAATCACCTCAGCACGGTCCCTAAAATTTGTACAAGATATGGAGAAAATTTACATCTGTTCGCGAAGCTTTTGTTAGGGATAAGTATCCACTTGTTTTGGTATTGCATATTTAAGTTAATAAGTAACCTGTTACGTTTACTTTGAGCAAAATGTTGACCGCTTTTGTCAGCCTTCAAAAACAAAAGTTTCGTTAATTCTTGCTCCCAAAGTGTGTAGTGACTTATTTATCTAAACAAAAATGTTTCAAAAGAAAGTTGAGTAAAGTAGTCTTTGACGAAGTATTGATTATGCTTAAGCGCTACCGTCTTATTTGTAAACAAATTTTTTGAAAAAATGAGCTTGAGCTTGTGACAGTACCCTATTTTTACTTAGTAATTGGAATTATTATAACTAGTTTTGTTGCTTAAAGGGGTATTCTAGTCTAGAAATAAAAAATTATCAATTTTTTTTTTAAATATTTGTACATTTTTAAAGTTTAATTATTCAATAACTTGCCTACAAGAGGATTTTTCAAAATTCAAATTATTTTCCGAATACTTGTTGACCCGTCATCGAAACTGGTTCGGCCGGAACTGAAACTTTAAACGCGTTTTTCTCGAAACCGTGTTTTACAAAAACGTTATCTACGATTTCTCAGGTTCGTGGAAAAATTTTTTTTACAACTTTTCCGTAGTACCAGACATTGCGAAAATATTCTAGATTGATACTTTTTTTTTGGTTTCCGATTGCTAGGAGAGTTGAAATCATGGGTATGGTCACGTGCCAATTTTTTTAAAACCCCCTACTTCATAATAATTTTTTAATTTTTGACATTTTTAACTTATTTTATTTTGTAATTGCTTACTGTATTCTTATAATGTTAATAAATAATTAATAATAAAATGTATGGAAAAATTATTAATTGGCTTTTATTTCCGACACTTCAAAAATTACCTGAAATGCACGCCTCTAGACTAGAATACCCCCCCATACATACATAACTTAGAAGATAATAAAAAGGAAGTGCATGTTTAAGAATAATCCATCATATTATCTATTAAATTATGGATTTTTTTTTGTATTTTTATTTATTTTTTTTTTTGTAGAAAAGTGGTTTTGGTTTTTACTACAAAGTCTATTTCTATCTAATTGAAAAATCCTATTTTCTCAACTCATACCCCATTCTCTCCTCTTATTCCATCACGCAAATTGCTTTCAAGCTCCAATTTTTTTCTTCTGCGGTCAAAGTAACCATCGCACTACTAAGTTTGCCGCCAACAAACCATTTTACTTTCGCTTCTTTGCATTTTTCGTTTTTGTCCATTTCATAGCTTTCCAAATTGCTCCACAAAATTTTACTTTATTTGTCTGCTTGTCAATGCTCATAATTCAGATCTATGTACATTCAGTTGTACATAATGAAGCTGCCTGCGAATCACTTTCCCTTTCCTAATTATTTTGAGAATTTTTTGGAGCATCTACTATGCCATGAAGCCCTAAATCTTTATCTGTTATGTTTTTACATATATAATATACTTTTTATTTGCACATTTTGCTCAACCATTGTATATTGATTTTCGGCGTTATTTGTCGTTTTTACAAATGTATTTCCCAGCGAAAATCTTCTCATATTATTTAAGGGTTCATTTCATGCATGAAATTGCCGCCAGTTTGACGAATGTTTCCGCGCCATTAATATGTGATAACAATTATTTGTGCTATTTGTCTTAAAATTATGTTTTTGCAAACTCAATAAATTCAAGAACATCTGTGTTCCGCCCACTCTTTGTTTATGAGTCATACGAATCCATTTATCTTCCAAATAATTCTGCTATCGTTATGTAAAATTGCTTGCTAACAATCTCAACTGAGTGTTGAATATTTTGGAATTAAGTAAGGGTGTAGTTTCAGTGAAAATAACAAAAAACATCAAGTAGTGGTAGCCATAATCTTTGAAGCCTCCTCGGCAATCGATACTTGTCTTTAAATTGTCGAGAAGAATATAAACAGCAAAAAATCGCCAATTTTTTTTCGAATTCAACAAGGTTGTTATAGCAAAATAGGCAATTGGTTACATACTCCCGAATGACCGCAACGTTAATTTCTCCTTCGAATAGCATATTTCGACTGATATAAGTAAGGAGGTGATTGTGTTTTTCTCAAAGTTACCAAATACAGACATATGTGTTGTCACATAGATAGTGTCTCGACTCCAAAATATACTCTGAAAAGAAGGAACCTGAAGGTTTAGATCATATATACATACAATATTATCAATAGCGTGTTTAATTTTGGCTAAACTTCTCAAGCTCTTCACGTACTCAATTTTTATTTTGCCGTTTTCTTCCATACAAAAAATGTATACCTGAAAGTAAATTTATGAGACATTCATTTTACATTCAGCACATATTTTTATCTGTGATGATGTCTTTAACGTATTCCGGAAAAATATCTTCTAATTGACACAGTTGAGGAGCCACTGTGAAACTTTGAACTTTGAAAGAAATTTAAGATAACCGGAGCATGAGTAACTATTGATATTTGATATTAATCCAAAGTTTGAGAGCTGCTGGTGATATTTAACTAAATGACAGTCGAAAAAACACTTTCACTTGTATGAACTAACCAATACCCTAAACCGTTTTCTTCACATTTTACTGTTTTAGCTAGGTTGCAAAACTCGATCTATCAAATTTTCACAAGCGCAAAAAAAAAAACTTTCCCAATTATTTACATTTATTTATTTTCACTTTACAAATAATTTCTTGGCCTTGAACAGCAACTCCTGTAGTTGTACTTCAAGTTGAAAAAAAAAAATTACTTTTGTTTTACTATTTCCATTTTGGCTCATAAATAAATAAAAAAATATCTGTTCGGTGAAAGGAAAATAAAAAAACACATACAAAACACAATTTTTGGCATTTGAAATTCGATATTCTATGTCGCGTCAATGGAAGTTTCGACAGGAAATGTGTACGTATCTGAAAACAAAACCAAATAATTAAAGCTTCTACCCAAATTACATACATACAAACATACCAACCGCGCTTAATTGGGTATAACGGAAACAACTAAAACAAAAAAAAAAAGAAACAAAAATAGAAAACGAATAAAGTAAACATTTTTAAAAGGAAAAAATTAGAATTTTCAAAATTTTGAACAAGGCGAAAATCAAAATTTCAATACTTAATGTCAACGTGTAATAATTGTGCGTGTGTTGTTGTTGTTGATAGTGCATAAAGCATGGCGCCGAAATTTCTAAGAGATATAAGAAAATATTTGTACGTTTACTATTGCAAAAAATGCATATATGCATTTTGATTTTAAAAATGTTGATAATGGCGAAAACGAATAAAAGTATTTATAAAAGCAATTTAGTAAAGTTGTTTAAGCGCAGCTTGTAAACAAATACCCGTAAGCAGTTTCTTAACTGCAACTAACGGGCCTTTACGTCAATAAATATAATTTTAATTTTTTTTGAAAATTTTTTAAGAAATACATATTTTTCAATAAGCGATTGCTTTGTTGCAAATTCATTTTTATTACAAATAATGAAAGCTTTGCTAATATATACACTTCTTCTTCATTTTTTGTAGTGGTGGTGGAACACAGGCTGCTGGAACATCAGGTACCGGTGGTGGTGGTGGCGGCGGAGGTGGTGGAGGCGGCGGAACGCGTAACACAACCAGCTCTGGCAACATGTATGCCACCCGCCAAGCTGTAGGCGCCTCCACGGGGGTACTTATGGTCGGACCAAATTTTCGTGTTGGTAAAAAAATTGGCTGTGGTAATTTCGGAGAACTGCGTTTAGGTAAGTACCAAAAGATATACAAATAAACAAAAAAATATATAAAAAAATGGAAGCTATAAAAATATATATATATATATATGCTTGTAACAACCACCGTCTACAACATCGAAGAGCTCACATATCTACATACCCACAAAGCACACTCAATTTATTTGCAGGAAATCAGCACTTAATTTAAATTGACGGTTGTACGTTACGCGTGCATCTGCGACGAGATTATGCCATTACTTTTGGTTTTTTTGTGTTTTTATTTGAAAAATACATCCATACAAATAAAAACATTGTTGTTGCTCAATATTCTGCGCTTAAAAAATATATAATATTGCCTATAATATAATAATAAATAACAAGAATCTAGTAGGCTGACTGATTAGTTAGTTAATTAGACTCAAATACCCAGCGTCATCTGTCGTATCGCTATCAGCAGATCTACCGATGTTGTGTTTTTTCGCTCTGCCGACTTATGCGATGGCTGATTGTTGGTTTAATATGCAAGTATTGGCTTTCTAATTTATTTCAATCAAATGTACTTATTGACATCTAGGCGTAGTTACCTATTTTTTAGCGTTGATCATAACGATCCAAACATATATCAGGTTGTTTGTCGTGATAAGTTAGTAAAAAAAGTGCATATTTTTGTACACCATTTCATAAGTGAACACTTTTAACTCGACATATAAATTTTTCATTTGCTTTCGCCACTTCTTATGATTTGCAAAAGAGTGAGTTCCTTAAGATCCATAAGGAGGAGGTTATAGTAGTGACCGCCAAGCTTTTGCTTTTTGTTTGAAGACGAAAATTGCCATGTTTACCTAAAAATGCCTTAAAATAGAATTTTTTCTAACGGAGAAGACCAATATCGACATAATTTTTTATCAGCGTGCTTATGAAATCGCTTTGAGAACTAATATCTTACCACATAACCGCTATTTTAGAACTTACTTGTATTTTCAAAAAAGCCCTTCAATTACCTTTAAAATCATATGTTTCCTCTAGATCCGCAAAAGAAATGTTGCTGAAATCTTGTTCGATGCAAATAACTCACCACGGTCAAATCGGAAACATGAAACCTCCTTTCAAATATATTTGTTTTTAATATTCCTAAAATGGTAATTGCTTTTAATGAAGAATTTATTTTTTATCTATATTCTCCTTTTCGTGGATTTGCTGCTTCAAACGGAATTTCCAAGTAAATTATGTTCTAAATTGGATTAAATTCGAAATTTCTTAGAGCAGACTACTACTGCCTTAACTATTTTCGAGCCACTGGATCAGATTAGGAAACTGTAAATATTCTCTTAAATAAGAAGCTTTTTGAGGTATCCAAGATAGAAATGGGTTCCAAGAAAAAATCTCTTCAGTCAGTCCTCACCTAGCCTCTGTTTCGGGCTTGGACATTAAATAAATCTTTTCTTGTCATTATTTAAAATAGCCTTCAATATCTTGCCACAAAATCGCTACTTTTACTATAGTTCGAAGAGAAAGTTTTCGCGGTAATTTAACCTTGAAAATATGTACTATATACATAGATGTTTTTTGCTTTTTTCCAATTAACACCGATTTAGAGCTCAGTGTCGCTGCTTTTATTTCTCATGGATTTGTAAAGAAGTAGAATCGATCTGAAATCTACCAAAAAAAGTCTTGCCTGCGACTGAAGCTAAATTCTTGTGGAATTAAGCTTTTATAAACTCATTCTTCCGAGGTCTATGACTACCTTTAAATAAAGATAACTGATAGCAAGCCACAAAAGTACTTGTAAAAATCTAATTTGAGCCCACATGCCATAAGTCAGTGATAATTACAACTAGGTAAATTCTTCACTCATTAAAGCGTGAGTAAGCGTTAAGTAAAGTTGTATAAGAATTTTGTTGTCAAATCGCGGCGATCATGAAAGGGTGGTTGGTATTTTAAGATAAGCTCTTGTAGCTCAAAAATTTTTCGAAGAATTGAAATTGTTTCGTGATACGATATCTGTTATAAATGGTTGATTGTGATTTAAACTTATTGATTTCTTGAATTGTTTTACTATTAACCCCCTACGAACCCCTATAACAAGTTTGGGCTTTGCTCTTTAGCCCAAAATTAAAATGTGAGTACAACAAAAAAGTTATTCATTGGAATTTGACACGAGCTAATATGTATTTAGATATATTATTAAAGTGACATAACGTTACATTTATAGCAGTTTGTTTGATTCGTCGCTCTCCAACAGTCAATCACATGCTGCGAGTGAAAAAAATGGCATATGAGTTACTCATTGCATACATTAAGTACTCTTAAAAGGTTCATAATGAAACTGGCATATGTCTAAATGCCCTTCCCTTTTCACTCTTATTACCATTGACAGCTGTTTAATGCACAAGTTCTACCTATAATTTTCACTCCATTCAATAAGGTGTTTGACTTGTCTACCTGACTGTCTTTAAATCGTACTTTGTTTATGATTTTCTGTTGTTCTGCTGCCTTATTTCCCGTTTGCCAAAAACCTCGTTTCAAGCTGGTTATTTTTTTTTCCGTATTTCCTCGTTCTTTGTTTCATTCGAAAGTTGCGTCTGAACTCAAATCATCTTGCATTTTATTTCTTTTTAATTCTCGTATACCTGTTTTCTCAGCTGTTCGTGTTGCAACATGCTTTTGTTACATTCTTTTATTACTCATTTGCGTATTCTGAGAAGCACGAAAATCCATGGCTTTTCGATCTTTGTCTGTTGATCTTTCATGTGATGTCACATTTTATTATGGCTTGCATTGTGAAATTCGAATAAGTGAAGATAAGTGATGTGGCTTTTATACTCTTTACTTGTAAATAGATACCGTTAGTTCTGAGCATAAAAAATTAAACATGTGACAAGAGGTTTAGATTGAATTTGAATTTAGATAAGCTTAAATTTAAATCATAGCATTTCTTTTATTTAACCCTCAAAAGCTCAGTACGTGTCTTTAGAGAAATGTATTTGTTCTATTAAAATAAAAATTAAACTTTTTAGGTAGTTATTAATACATATGTTTTAAGTTTTCTTCTTTCTTCCTTGAAGTATTTCAATCAGTCTATTTAGCATTATTCTGCTGTTGATATTATTTTGAAATATTCAGAAGACCATAATCAAAAAACTATTACGTACTGAAACTTGCTATCGAAATTCCTAGACCTCGATAATTTCCTAATCCTGTTATAAAATACCTTTTAATCCGATAAGTAACATATTTAACCGTAAATGTCTTTCCATTTGAAGTATCCGCTGTGGTTTGCGGTTTCTACATCATATTCCAACTAATCTTATCAAATTTATGTGTTTCCAGCGGTCGAACTCCGGTAAGCAAAAGTCGAGCTCTGAGCGTCTTTCTTCCATAAAAAAGCATATTATAAAATCCAACAGCCTTTCGATGCTGGTTAAAACTGGTTAAGCCATAGCTTACCGCGACAGGTTAAATTAGGTTTGCTACGAAGCATATGGCTTTAGATTTAGCCAGGTCCGTCTCTTCGTCTGTATATACGCAAACTAGTACCTCAGTTTTTGAGATATCGATCTGAAATTTAGCACACGTCCTTTTCTTCCCAAGAGACTGCTCAATTTGTCTGAACCGCTGCTATCGGACCACTATAAGATTGCTGCCATACAAACTGATCGATCAAACTCAAGAACACTTTTTTACTTGACAAGATTGCTTCACGAAATTTTTAACAGATTATTTTCCAAGTCAGCGCTATAAAAAATAACCATAATCCATAAAAAATACACTTTTAAAAGGTATTATAGCTTCGGTGCAGCTGAAGTTAACGTTTTGATGATTTATTCTCGTGTTTTTTAATTACTTAGTGGATTTTGAATTCAATATTTGTAAATTTCAAGCTTCCACCAAATCTGATATTTTTTGAACAAATCTTACCAAAGATAGAGCAAAGATTTTCATTTCATTTTCGATGAAATCCGATTATACAAGTTGAAATGACAACTCCTCAATCATATAAAATCATAATTAAACATTATGAAGTAAATAGAAAAATACTTTAAATACAATATACTTGTAATTTCAAACATCTTTTTATTTTTTCACTTAAGAAAAAGCATCCAAATCCGCTTATAAAACTTGTAATTCATTTAAAGATCGCGTTGTCACGCTCAACGAACGTTTACTGTGTCCAATGAGCTTGTTAAATCAATGCAATTGCCAGCAAAAGAGAAGAGTGTCAGCTTAAATTGTCTTTTTTCCCATACCTATGTACATACATATCTCAACATTTTTTTTCTTAATATTTCAAAATATTTTTACCACGATCAGCCAGGCACAGTGCTTAAGTAAACTGTGAAACTTTTTGATATTGCACAAGCAGTGAAAATCTCGACTATAATTTTTTAATGTTTCTTGAGTATGAATAACTCCATTTACCGCAATAGTTAGTCGTTTTTCGTTCTGCAAGTGATCGATCACACTGTTACTCATACGAATACTGTGACCCTCTTTCCACATCCTTAATAATTCTTAAAACTATCAAGAAATACATTTATTAAGCCACAATCATTTTGCGATCGTACAGTTCAGCCCATAAACCAGTTTCAATACAGCGTTTTTGTTTTTCCGTGAATTAATCTTTTGTTGTGTTGCTGTCGATCCATAACACTTGATCGTATTTCATTTTGCCCCCATTCGCCAATTTATTTATGCAAATGTGCAATATTTATCTGTGCTTGGTGTCCCTTCTACTAAGCATTTATGACTTTATTTAGTTTTAAGAATTCAATATTTTTTTGTTTTTGCAAAAAGAGTGAGTGTTGAGAAGTATACCTTTTTTTTTAAGGTAAGGTATGAATAATTGGTGCTTCAGTGGGTGCTTTGTGGTTATTAAACATGTGTTTATGGAGGTTTTTTTTGAAAATGAAATTAAATTCATTAAAAAATGACTATACCATGTGTGCATACTTCAGATCAAAAATTTTACTTCGGTGCAACTCTTGTTTTTATTTTTCTATTTTTGGATAATTTCAAATCAACAATTTTAA